TCGCGGAGCAGAATGTGGGTCGGATCATGAATTAGTAATCAAGAAACTTCGACAAAAACTTAATTTATAAAAAAGAGAAAAGAAAACCGTTTCGATTTTGAGAATTTTAATTTGGAAAAATTAAAAAATCCATCAATTAGAATCCAATTCGAGCTAGATGTTAAGAATAGGTTTGAAGCTTTAGAGCTTCGGGACGAGGACCACGAGGATATTGACAAGTTATGGGTAGAGATCAGGGATAATATTAAAGCGGTCGGTAATTCGTGTCGAGGAAAAAAGGAAAATAAGAATAACAAACCGTGGTTTGATGAAGATTGCTTAAACATGTGCGAAAAAAGAAAAGCCGCTAAATTAAAAGCTCTAAATAATCCTAGCGAAGACAATCTGGAATACTTCCGATCCTCAAAGAACGAAACGACAAAATTGCTCAAAAATAAAAAAAGGGAGTATCTTATAAATAAAATAATTGAAATAGAAACTAATAGAATCAAAAATAACGTAAGAGACATGTACAAAGGTATATACAGATCACGTAAATGTGTAGGGCCCGTAACATCTGGTGATGATAATAACAATATTCTGACCGATCCGGTTGACATATTGAATAAGTTTAAGGACCACTTTGACAATATTTTAAATACGGGAAATTATGATCTGTGTCCTCCTTCTGAGTACCAGAGTGCTGAACCGTTAATAGAAGGACCAAGTAAAGAGGAAGTTGAAGTAGCTATCGGAAAATTAAAATCTTATAAAGCAGCGGGAACCGATAACATTCCTACTGAACTAATTAAGGCATGCGGGGAAGCTGGAGTTTCTAAAATACATCGGTTGGTTAAAAAGATCTGGGTGAATGAGAAATTACCTGAAGAATGGAAAGAATCTATTCTTATTCCGATTCACAAAAAGGGTCCGAGGACGGATTGTAATAACTATCGAGGAATTTCACTCCTTCCGGTATGTTATAAAATATTCACTTTAATCTTAACCAGTCGAATCACGGAATACGCCGAGGAAATTATTGGAGACTACCAATGCGGATTTAGACGGAATCGTTCGACTATTGATCAAATATTTTCTTTACGGCAAATATTAGAGAAAAAATTGGAGTACAACGGTATTATTCATCAGCTGTATATACATTTAAAAAAGGCTTACGATTCTATTGACCGCCAGAAACTGTATAATATTCTAACCGAGCAGGGGATTCCACAAAAACTAGTAAATCTAGTCAGGATATGCTTGACGGAGACACTCAATAAAGTTAGAATCGGTAATAATCTGTCCGAAAAATTTGAGGTTCGTTCGGGTTTAAAACAGGGGGATTCCCTTTCCCCTGTCCTGTTCACTTTGGCATTAGAACATGCCATTAGGGAGGTAATGCGTACCGAGAAAGGGTTGGATCTGGGAGGGACAACATCCGTGCTGGGCTATGCTGATGATCTGTTACTGTTAAGCGAAGACGTTGAAATTATAAAACTGAATACGACAACGTTAATGAAAGCCGGTAAAGAACTAGGACTAGAAATAAAATTGGATAAAACAAAATATATGGTTAGCTGCAAAAATGGCGATACTACTGGTGATATCGATATAGATGGTAATATGTTTGAACAGGTAGATAAATTTAGGTATCTAGGTTCTACGATAACTAGAAAAAAACGAAATTGAAGAAGAGATTAAGGTTAGACTGAAGGCGGGAAATGCTTTTTATTTTTCTCTGACAAAACTACTTAGTTCGCGTCTCTTGTCCCGGAACTTAAAAATTAGAATCTGTAAAACAATTATCTGGCCTACAGTTCTTTATGGATGCGAAACTTGGCCGCTTACATTAAGGATGAGCAGCGTCTTAAGGTTTTTGAAAATAAAGTGTTGCGTAGAATATTCGGACCGAAGAAGGATGAGTTAACCGGAGAGTTCAGACGGTTACACAACGCCGAATTGCGTGAGCTGTATCCGGGTAATATAATTGAGGTAATTTCATCGCGGCGAATCAAATGGGCTTGTAAAGTTGTTGGTCTTAGTAACGAGAGAATTCCTAAAAGGTTAATATTTGCTGTGCTGAATGGTAAGCGTCCGAGGGGTAGACCGAGGCGAAGGTGGGAAGATTGCATTAAAGCCGATCTGAAGGGACTGGGTTTGGACGGCGAACGGTGGAGAGAGGTGTGTAATAAGCGATTGGTGGTGTCGGCATCGAACCTTCGGGTTCGCTAAGCCTTTTATTATTATTACCGTCTATAATATTTACTTTTACTTTCCTTATTATTATTTTATTTGTCAACACTTCTACAAAAGGTTTTTTTTTGTTTACTTGAGAGGGGGAGAATCAACTCCAACCACCTCAGGTATGTTCAATTTTAATTACTATTGAATGTTGAGAAAGCTTCTTACAATTCTGGCAGTATTCAGCAGCACCGCTTTCTGAGCTTCCTTTATTACATGAGTTGGGAGGCCCAGCCTGTCAGTAGCTTCCACAGTAGACACCGGTACCAGGCCATTGCTGGAGATCACAATGCCCCTAACGGTTACTTTATTAAGTTTATACAAACTTTTTAACTCAGCTGCTAGACCTTGATATTTCCGAATTTTTTCTGCACAGACTGAGTTAATGTTTCCGTCATTTGGCACAGCGATATCTATAATTTCAGCCACCTTAATATTACCGTCAATTAATACAATATCAGGTCTGTTGTGGATCACGAGATTGTCTGTTATGAACGATTGGTTCCAATATAATTTTAAGTCATCTTTCTGGCAAATACTTTTAGGGCAATATTTATAGTAGGGCTTCGAGTCGTTTTATAATTTAATTTTTTGACCAATAGCCTGGTGATAGACTTTGGCAACATCGTCATGTCTTTTTAGGTATTCTGTACCTGCAAGAGCTCCGCAGCCTCCAGTTATGTGTTAAATGGATTCATATGTGCTTGCACAGAGCCTACATTTGTCGGATACATTCTGTTGCTTCAAGACGTGTCGCCAGTAGGATCTGGTAGCTATAACCTGGTCCTGGATTGCAGTTAAAAAACCTTCAGTCTCGGGGAACAGACTTCCTCCTACCAGCCAGCTAACAGACAAAGATTTATCTATTTCAGTCTGCTGAAGCTGGTGAAAAAACCTTCCATGTAATGCTTTTGACTTCCATTCTTCCATGCGGTCTTTGTCGGTAACAAAGATTGGCGCAGTTTCATGAGAGGCTAATTGTAGAGCAGTGTGCCCGCGATCGAGATTGCAGATTATCTTATGGCACGGCACTGCGCTTTGTTTAAAGTACTCCCTTAGGTTCTTTTCTTGATTTCGACAAGACTCTTCAATATTTGTAAGACCTCTCCCTCCTTCCTTTCTTGGCAGGTAAAGCCTTGCCATAGATGCAGTCGGGTGGTGCATTCTGGAACCCGTCATACTTGTTCTTATTAACCTATCCAATTCCTGGAGTGACGTTGTGGACCATTTTAGAATTCCAAAGCTGTAAGATAAGGAAGGAATAACCCATGTATTTATAGCTTTTATCATTAAACCTGAAGAAAGATGTGTTCTAAGGATGATCTTTAGTCTTTTTTTAAATGAACCTATCAATTTACATTTTACATCCTTTCTAGCTATTTTTAAATGCTGTTCTATTCCTAGATATTTATACATATCTTCTTTCTGAAGGTTCTTAATATGATATTCTTCATTAAACAAGTTTTCGGAATTATTTGGTTTTCCTTTTATAACGTGAAGAACTGCGCATTTCTCAGTCCCAAGGGACATCTGTATGGAGTCACTAACGTGGCTGACTGTCTTTAGTTATTATTATTATTATTTTTTTTTTCTTTATTTTTCACATATTATTATTATTATTATTATTATTATTATGTTCTATGAAAATTGGAAAAGGAAAACAATTGAAAAATTGTTTGAACTACAGTTAAAAGACTCATGATGACCAAGCAGCATAATTTCAAACTTCGAACCTACAAGAAAGTTAAAATATTATTAAAATAAAAAATGTTATATGTGTAAAAAATAATTTTTAGTTTTAATTAGTTAAACAGAAATATTTAAGATTAAACATTCGTCTAATATTACAAATAAATTCAAAGGTTATCAATTTCAAGTGCCAAACTCCATACCTAAAACGATTCATTCATTCCCAGACATGTTATTAAACGAATAGGTATTACTCCATGAATCGTTCTTCTATGAACAATTTTTTTCAACAGTTCCTAAGAACTGTTGTTTTTTGTCAAGGAACATTTCATTTACATTTTTCAAAAGTAGCAGAAACTCCCACCTCTAACCATTGGTGTGTTGTCCCTTCTTAAAGCTTCCATTTCCGGTCCATCTGATTTCCTGAATGGCTGCAATATCTATTGCGTAGTCATTTAGAATGTCCAGGAGGGTTTGAAGTGGTTTGGGTCTACACAATGATAAAATGTTCCAAGCAACTAAATTATAGTCCATTTGACGGGATCTGTGTCGTTTCCCAGTGATCAGTCCAGTGTATCGTTATTGTGCTTTATGATTAGATTTTTTAAGGGAAGCAAGATATCTGCCTACTGCCCCCTAGTCATGTAGAGGGGCTGCCTCCTCAGACCTCCCTGACTAGCTCTCCCTTCCGGATGCGGCTACCTATGAGAGGTGACCCTAGGGTGCAGGATCCCATGTTTATGTTAGAGAGGTGATCCCATTTTTCGTATACTACTTCTTGACAAATGCTTACATTTAGAAGCTAAAGTGCATGCGTTATAATTTAAAAAGTTACACTTTAACTTCTTAAGTATTCGGCATTAACTTCTTAAGGTGCGCTTAGACATTTCACAAATTGTGGTAAACACATTGTCGAACTTAAGTAACAGCGACGTTACTGCCAAACGAAACTATTTATTTTATTTATCTTGATACCCACAACAGATAGAAAATATCAAAAATAAGAAACGAAAATGTAAAAAAAAGACAACTTATATCGTTTGTTTTAAATCGATACGATATTATGATGGCTTTGAATGCTTTGTGCGTTCAGCCTTTACCCCAATAACAGTGAGTAAGGGTTAACTTCTCCGAGTATTGTTCTGAGTTTGAAATACAATTTTCAAGACTATCAGATATTAGTAAATATGTCTGTAGCTTTTGTGCCAACCAGAGGGCCTAGGCAGCCCCCTAGTCCGGCACAAATACAAAAGGTTTGTTAGTTCATGTTTTTTTTTTATTATAAAATTGAGTCATTGCAGTTTTTGATGAAATTAATGTTTACCATATTTATCATTTAGATGTTAGATGAAAATAGCCAACTTATTCAAACTATTCAAGAATTTCAGAGTAAAGGAAAGGCACAAGAGTGTATGCAGTAAGTGATGTAATATGCTTCTATGAATTGAAGATAAATTAAAACTTAAAAATTAATATATTTTTTTATATTCAGGTATCAACAAGTCCTTCATAGAAATCTTGTTTATCTAGCTTCAATTGCAGATGCCAGCCAGAATATTCAAGCTCTCTTGCCAGTAATTTAATTATATTTCATTTTTATTTTTTGTTATATATTTGGTCTGTTCCCAAATGGGGTTTTGACTGGCAGTCACATACTGTATATATCAGCTCATCTGTTTATGGCATTAATCAAAAATCGAAGTAAAACTTCAGTTTTTTTTTTTTACTTTTACTCATCACTTATATATATCATTTGTTAAATTCAAACAAGGTACTAACATTTATAACTCCACTTTTATCAATGGCACAAAATCTCATGATCACACAATTAATGGAATCCAAGAATGTTCAAGTGTGTTTAGAAGTAGGCGGAAGTGATAACCCTCTGGTTAGGCCCTGATCATCACTGAGAAGAATTACTGGGGTTGGAGGTTATTTCATCCCTTTAGAATAAGTGATACTTGGGATCAGTGGTCTATTTATAACTAATTAATTTCCTAATTTTACTGAAAAAGACCAGTAGGGTAGTTTGTTTATGTCATAAATCACAATCTAAATAATGAGAGGTTATACTGTGAATATGTTTTAAATCCATGGATATTGTTGGAATCTTATTTATATTGTGAACAAGAGATCTTGACCTATTGAAGACGGTAAAGTGATATTTGCTCAATGGTACCGATACAATATTATGATGCCTTGAATTTAACCTTTACCACGACAACAGTGAGTAAGGTTTTATTTCTCAAAGAATAGTTCTGATAGTTATAACAATAAAAGTTAGTAAATAACTGTTCGTAACAATAACTCTACGGATATAATTATGATTATTGTGTGCAGTACAGTTCTTCTATTCCAGATATGTGTGGGGTATAGATTATGGAATGGAAAAACTGTATTGCACATACGGCTGATAGTCTAAACTCCTGTTGGAACAGACAAACGTATACCATTTTAATTGAATTACATGTTTCTGCATATATTTGGAATTATTAATTGTTGTTTATCATACTTGCTATTAGTTATATTGAAATAGGAGTTGTAAAACTATTTATTAATAATGTCTGCAATTATTTACATTACTTGAGTTAAATGAATATATCTTTTGAGTAGGAATGAACTGTTCGGAGCGAAACGGTTTCCACTATCCGAATGAAGGAGACCATAGGCGAATTCCTTCTGCCAAAATGTTTTCTATGATCAAAATGTGAACATCTTTAATTTTCGACAGCCATGGTATTAGGAGAAGAGTAAAGAATAGTTCAGAAGCGGTTTATAAAAATTACAGAGTACAGGTTGCTAAGGAATTGGATTAGCAGAATTGTGGAATAAACTACAACCACTTCAGAAATAAATTGCAATTACTATTTTTAATTTAGTCTTGCATAAAATTAAATTAGATTAAAATATAATCTATTTGAATCATTAATAAAATTTATCGAAATCATGAGTTTAAAACAGCAATCAAGACATTTTAAAAACATTCTTTAGAATGATAAGATAAATGAAAACGAATACAATTACTTTAGCCAAATACCTTATGAAAGATAAATAAAAAATTTGGTGTGACCACTAGCAAGTATAGGAATAAATGAAGCTTGTGTGATGCGGGCACCAGAATTTTTTACTTTCACTTATTTTTCTTTTTTCTTTCTCTTTCACCCTTTTCTGCCACCAGGATTTGAACTCGTAATCTTATAATACGAAATTGAATAGCTGTAACTTCGTTAATAGTTGTCTGAAATTTGGAAAATCGAGGAACGATTTTTATATAGTTTTGTAGGGAATTTCACCACCTTTCAAAAAACAGGCTAAAAAGAGCCGTATTCCCGCTACAATCTATAAAAATATATGTTTTTCTCTATTTGTGCAGCCACTATAGTGCATGGAGCAATGGAGTTAAGCCCTAAAACATTTGTCTTTTTTTTTCTGGAATTTAAGATATGTACAAAAATTGAAAGGACATTAATTTGAAAATTATAGGAAAGTTCCATCAACATTGTTAGGGCAGTTTTTGTACTACAGTCTATAAAAATATTTGTTTTTCACTTATTGCATAGGGAGTACCCAATTTGTGTCACAAGCATCATTAGTCAAAATCTCACAAAATATAAAAACAGGCAATAAAATCGGTCTACTAGTTCTTGAGTTAATCTTGGTAAAGCCAGACATACCAGTGGCTGAAAATTTGTTTTGGACTCAGGGCGCTCTAAAATATATAGATCCCTCAAAAACCCCACATTGGAAATTTGACCCAATTGCAATACTTTCCTTATCTAGTATAGGTAGGAAAGTAAAAATATGATTCTGAAATGCAAATAACTTTTGTTGTGGAATATTTCACAAATTATTAGGATTTTAAACCACTCACATTTTATTTTAATTAAGTTTTTTACCTACCAATATATTATAAGAGTTAAGATACTTCATCTCCCTTTTTGGCAATATATTATTTACCCTAACAATTAGATAAGTCACAAAATTCAATTCAATATGATTGGTCAATGGTAATTGAGTATTGTTGAATTGAATTTTGTGACCCCCAATTTCTTGGGTAGATGATATATTGCTGAAGAGGGGGACGAAGCTTTCCTCAAAACGTTCAAATAAATTTGCAATCAAAGACTAATTTTGATCAATTTATTTCTGACCAATAGACAAACGAATCACTATAAAAAGAACTGACCAAACCTGCATAATGAAAGAAATGAAATATATCAATATTGTTTAAATTTTTTCAATGTTAAAAAAATGTTTATATAAATTTATAATGTGGGTTTTTTATAATTTATAAATTTATAATGGGTGTTTTGTAATGCGTACCGGAAAAGGATTGGATCTGGATGGTACAACACCCATGCTTGGGTATGCGGATTAGAGATGGGCAAAATTGTACTCTGAGTAAAAAGTACAATTACAGAGTAATTTACTCAAATACTCGCCCGGTTCGAGTATCGAGTACTTCAATCACTACTCGACCTCATGATTGACGAGTACAAAAAGTAATCAGCTGTCCTCGTGAGTACTTTCTATTTTCAAATCTACTCAGCAATATTTTACTCTGAGTACTTTTCAAAGTAATCGAGTATTTCATTATAAAAATTACAGGAGTAGAATATTTAATATTTCTTCTATGTTTAAGTCCATTGTTATCTTATGGGGGTATAGTTTTTTAAAATAGTATCGATATTAATGTAAATCGATAAAATAAAGAATTATTAAAATATTTTTGATTTAATCAACTTTGGGGACCATTTTTTTTTTTTTTCTTTTTTACACCACTTGACTTTTATGATAATGCTGTCGGATTTGAGATAGGGCCCCCGGGCCCCGACTTTTTTTAACTTTTTGGATTAAATCGATATCAGGGTCGACTATTAGGTTTTAGGGGGTGCTTTTTATGAAAATGATATCGAATTTGAGATTGGGCCCCCCGGGCCCTGACTTTTTTTAACTTTTTGGATTAAATCGATATCAGGGTCGACTATTAGGTTTTGGGGGTGCTTTTTATGAAAATTGATATCGAATTTGAGATTGGGCCCCCCGGGCCCTGACTTTTTTTAACTTTTTGGATTAAATCGATATCAGGGTCGACTATTAGGTTTTAGGGGGTGCTTTTTATGAAAATGATATCGAATTTGAGATTGGGCCCCCCGGGCCCCGACTTTTTTTAACTTTTTGATTAAATCGATATCAGGGTCGACTATTAGGTTTTGGGGGTGCTTTTATGAAAATTATATCGAATTTGAGATTGGGCCCCCCGGGCCCTGACTTTTTTTAACTTTTTGAATTAAATCGATATCAGGGTCGACTATTAGGTTTTAGGGGGTGCTTTTTATGAAAATGATATCGAATTTGAGATTGGGCCCCCCGGGCCTCTGACTTTTTTTAACTTTTTGGATTAAATCGATATCAGGGTCGACTATTAGGTTTTAGGGGGTGCTTTTTATGAAAATGATATCGAATTTGAGATTGGGCCCCCCGGGCCCCGACTTTTTTTAACTTTTTGAATTAAATCGATATCAGGGTCGACTATTAGGTTTTAGGGGGTGCTTTTTATGAAAATGATATCGAATTTGAGATTGGGCCCCCCGGGCCCTGACTTTTTTTAACTTTTTGGATTAAATCGATATCAGGGTCGACTATTAGGTTTTAGGGGGTGCTTTTTATGAAAATGATATCGAATTTGAGATTGGGCCCCCCGGGCCCCGACTTTTTTTAATTTTTTAGATTAAATCGATATCAGGATTATATTATATTTTATTTACTAAATAAAATATACTATTATATTTTAGGGGGCGCTTTTTATGAAAATGATATCAGATTACGAATCATTTTCATACATTTTGAGATAGTGCCCCCGGGGCCCGACTTTTTGTAACCTTTCGGATTTAATCGATATCAATGTTGATTATGAGGTTCTGGAGGACACTTTTTTATGAAAATGATGTCGGATTTTTTTTTTTTATAATATCCGTCCCCTGAAACATAATAGACGGCCCTGATATCGACTAATTCCAAAAAGTGAATCCACTGGGTGCAATCTCAAATCCGACTGTATTTTCATAAAAAGCACCCCCTAAAAGCTAATAGTCGACCCTGATATCGATTTAATCCAAAAAGTTAAAAAAAGTCGGGGCCCGGGGGGCCCAATCTCAAATTTGATATCATTTTCATAAAAAGCACCCCCTAAAACCTAATAGTCGACCCTGATATCGATTTAATCTAAAAAGTTAAAAAAATGTCGGGGTCCGGGGGGCCCAATCTCAAATTCGATATCATTTTCATAAAAAGCACCCCCTAAAACCTAATAGTCGACCCTGATATCGATTTAATCCAAAAAGTTAAAAAAAGTCGGGGCCCGGGGGGCCCAATCTCAAATTTGATATCATTTTCATAAAAAGCACCCCCTAAAACCTAATAGTCGACCCTGATATCGATTTAATCTAAAAAGTTAAAAAATGTCGGGGTCCGGGGGGCCCAATCTCAAATTCGATATCATTTTCATAAAAAGCACCCCCTAAAACCTAATAGTCGACCCTGATATCGATTTAATCCAAAAAGTTAAAAAAAGTCGGGGCCCGGGGGGCCCAATCTCAAATTCCATACAATTTTCATAAAAAGCACCCCCTAAAACCTAATAGTCGACCCTGATATCGATTTAATCCAAAAAGTTCAAAAAAGTCGGGGCCCGGGGGGCCCAATCTCAAATTCGGTATCATTTTCATAAAAAGCACCCCCTAAAACCTAATAGTCGACCCTGATATCGATTTAATCCAAAAAGTTAAAAAAAGTCGGGGCCCGGGGGCCCAATCTCAAATTCGATATCATTTTCATAAAAAGCACCCCCTAAAACCTAATAGTCGACCCTGATATCGATTTAATCCAAAAAGTTAAAAAAAGTCAGGGCCCGGGGGGCCCAATCTCAAATTCGATATCATTTTCATAAAAAGCACCCCCTAAAACCTAATAGTCGACCCTGATATCGATTTAATCCAAAAAGTTAAAAAAAGTCAGGGCCCGGGGGGCCCAATCTCAAATTCGATATAATTTTCATAAAAAGCACCCCCTAAAACCTAATAGTCGACCCTGATATCGATTTAATCTAAAAAGTTAAAAAAAGTCGGGGCCCGGGGGGCCCAATCTCAAATTCGATATCATTTTCATAAAAAGCGCCCCCCAGAACATAATAGTCGACCCTGATATCGATTTAATTCAAAAAGTTAAAAAAAGTCGGGGCCCGGGGGGCCTATTCCCAAATTCGATATCATTTTCATAAAAAGCGCCCCCCAAAACATACTAATTGACCCAGATATCGATTTAATAGGAAAAGTTATGAAATTCGATGCCCGGGGGCACTATCTAAAATCCGACAGTATATTTTTATAAAAAGGGCCCCCCAAGACATGATGGTTAGTCTAATATCGATTAATGGGGACTCGGGGTTGGTCAGGTCGAATATGGCCGCTATTATTGAAGGAAATAAAAGAAAACATTTATACTTTATATAATAATGACGGAGTAGTTGAAAAATAAAAAGTACTCTTTGTAGTAATTGGGCTGAGTACTTTCTGTAATTCGATATAACAGCGCGAGTATTTTCTGTACTTAACTAAATCATGATTGACGCTGCGTGAGTACTCTCAGTACTCGCCGCTGTCAGGCCGAGTACAAAAACTACTCGATACTTTTTCCTAATAAAATTACTCAAATCATGAAAGGGATGATCTGGTCCTGTTAAGCGAAGACACAGAAACTATAAAACTAAATCATTAATGGAAGCCGGTAAAGCAATAGGGCTCAAAATAAACATGGATAAGACAAAATATATGGTTAGCTGCAAAAATGGCGATATTCCCGGTGATATCGACCTAGAAGGTAATATCTTGGAACACGTTGAGAAGTTTGGGTATCTAAGGTCTACGATAACTAGAAAAAACTAAATTAAAGATGAGATTGAGGTTAGGCTGAAGGCAATAAGTGCTTGTTATTTTTCTGTGACAAAACTACTTACCTCACGCCTCTTGTCCCGGAACTTAAACTATAACTTAACCGGAAACTAGAATCTATAACACCATTATCTTACCTACAGTTCTTTATGGTTGTGAAACGTGGCTGCTTAGATTAAAGGGTGAGCAACATCTTAAGGTTTTTGAAAATAAACTATTGCATAGAATATTCAGACCGAGGAAGCATGAGTTAACCGGTGAATTTAGACAGTCCACAACGCTGAATTGCATTAATTTAATTGAGTTGATTACTTTGCGGTGAATCAAATGGGCTTGTAAAATTGTTGGGCTTAGTAACGAAATATTTCCTAAAAGGTTATTATTAGCTGTACCAAATGGTAACAGTCTGAGGGGTAGACCCAAGCGAAGATGGGAATATTGCATTAAAGCCGATCTGAAGGGACTGGATTTGGACGACAAAAGGTTGAGGGAAATGTGTAATGAGCGATTGGTAGTGTTGGCATCGAACCTTTGGGTTTTTCAAGCCTTTTATTATTATTATTATTATTGCCGTCTATAATATTTACTTTTACTTCCCTTAGTCTGAAAATAATTACTTCTGCTTAAAAGAGGGTAGTAAGTGAAAGTTGTGCTATGTGCACACCACACCAGTTTTTATGTAATTTAATTTTTTTTATTTTTTATTTCTCTAAAGCCTCCGCAAGGAGTTCCCACTGCTGCTGGTGGACCACCTCCTCATCACATGCATGGACCTCAAGGTCCTGAAATCCCTCCAGGCCCTTGTTTTCCACAACCAGGCCAAGGAGGCTACAGGCCACCCACGATGCCTCCTCAAGGTCCTCAGCAACCTCAACAAAGTAAGTATTTGGTAGTCCTATCATGAGTGTTGCAAATCTGTAAATAATTTGGATCATTTTTTAATGATTTAATTTTATAAAACATTTTGAAAGAGATCTTATTTTTAAGAAGTTCATTCTGTTTTAAAATAAAGCCGTTCTGTTTCACCTCTTCTATTCAATTGAGCACCAGAATATATCATTAGAAAGGTGATGCCTATATTATTAAAAAGATTTTAACTCTGGTTGGTAAAATTTTCCTGCCTGGGTATGCTGTATGTATGACTTTAAAACATAATAATACTTTTTATGAGCTAAAACTATTCTTATTTCTTTTACAATAACTAAGAACAAATAACAAAACAAATGGTGCCTGGTGCTTGACTAATAACCTGTAAACGTGTCCTCAAGTAGACAAAAATTAAAAGTACCTGCTCTACCATGCAGCAATCTTGCTTGTTTTGTTATAATGCTAATTTGCCCAATACTTGGATGTGTCAACTCTTGCAGTCAAAAGAGCTATAAGTAATTTTCATTATAAATGATTAATTAATAACCAATTGTATTGATATCATTATTTTAAACAGTTGCACATAGTTTTAAACTATTGTTAACAGAGAAATTAAGCTGTTGTTTCGTATCAATAAGTAATTACTATTATATATCTATCCTACCTTTGTCGATCTTTCCCTAAATAGTGGATTTTGATGGTTGACTGTAGTGATTAATTAAAGAGAAGAATGGTTGGAGTGATCAGTAACAAAAATAAATAATTATATTTATTTTTATATTTGCGGATGTTTCAGCCCAAAGTTCAGGTTTTCTTCATTGATGGTCAAATGAAGGAGCGTCGAAAAACTCGACAGTACGGTGCTCCTTCGTTTGACCAGCCCTGATGAAAGTCTGAACTTTGGGCCGAAATGTCGGCAAATCTAAAAATAAATATAATAATTTATTTTTACTTTTTTTTTTTTTGACTGGCACCCCAACCATTCTTCTCTTCAATTAAATAAAAAGCTTCAGTTTTCGCCCTACTTACCTACTTACTACATATTCTGTTTTCGCCCTACTTACTACTTACTGACGGGCTCTACAGTCCGAGGTAGACCTTGACCTCCTTTACGATCTTTTTCTAATCCTCTTTATCTTTCATTCTTATCCTCCAATTTACCACTCCCATTCTCCTTAAATCCTCTTCCACGTCAGTTTTCCAACATTTTCTCGGTTGTCCTCTTTTCCTTTTTCTGGGAAATTCCTCTCATAAGTATCTTTTTTGTTGCTTTGTCATCTGGCAGTCTTTCCACGTGTCCTAGCCAACTAATTTTCAAGCTTTAATGAAGCATACAGTTTCCTCTTGCTTCAATAGTTCATCCAGTTCCCGATTTGTCCTTATCCTCCACTTTCCCTGTATGCACAGGGGGCCAAAAATTCATCTCATGATTTTTCTTTCTAAAATCCTTGGTGCCTTCTGATCAGCTACTTTCAGCATCCAGGCTTCGGCTCCATAGCACACAACTGATCGAACCAAGGATTTGTACATTTTGAGTTTTGTGACTCTGGATAGAAGTGTCGATTTAAAAAGCTTTAACATACCAAAGTACACTCTATTGCCTTCCATGATTCTTCCTCTTATTTCCGGGCTAATCAAGTTTTCACTATTGAATTGCACCCCAAGATACGTGAAACTTTCCACTGCTTCAAAAAAGTATTCCTGGAAAACAAAACCATCTGGCTTACTTCTTGAATCCGAGGTCGAGACTACCATATACCTTGTTTTTGTGTCGTTAACTGTTAATCCAACCTTCTAACATTCTACAACCCAATGTCGATAGAACCTCAACTATTGCTGCTTTGCTTCTACCAATAACTGCAATGTCATCAGCATATCCCAATATTTGTCTAGTTCGGCATGCTAAATTACCATCTGGCGTGATCCCTTTAACTGCATTATGTAGCTCCAAGTTTAATAGATTTGCTGAGAGTGTGTCTCCCTGCCTTACTCCAGAATTAAATTGGAAGATTTCGCTAACCTGATTGCCAATTAATACTTTAGCTTGTATGTTCAGCATAGTCATTTCAATTAAGTGGATTAGTTTATGCGGGATATTATATTCACGCAATGCACTAAAAAGTTGGGTTCTTTTAATTAAGTCAAAGGCTTGTTTGAAATCTATAAACAGTATATGCACATCAATATCATGCTCATAACACTTTTCTAGCACTTATCGTAAAATCAAAATCTGATCACTTGTACCTCTGTTAAGCCAAAAACCTCACTGATAATCCGTTATGATTCTTTCTGAATACATTATTAGTCTTGGTACCAGAAGGTTGGATACAATTTTATAAACAACATTAAAAAGGGTTATTCCCCGGTAGTTTTCACATACCATTTTATCACCTTTTTTGAATATTAGGGAAATTAAACCTGAGCACCATTCCTTTAGAAATTTCCCTCTACTCTGTAAATATTAAAAGATTAAAAATTCAATTCATTTCTGATTTTAGAAATTTTAAGTTTGTGGGTATTAGATTGGAAGTAATGAGGATTTTTTATTTTTATTTTTTAGGACCTACTATGCCAACTGGTCCTCAACAGTATAGATCTGGTCAGGTTTATCCTGGTCCAGGACCTCAGCAACAGCCTTATCCAAATAGTCAGTACCCTAACCAACCACCATCTCAGGTTTCCTCTTCTCAGGTAATATATAACCTACCATTTTAATGCTTATGTTTATTTTTGTTATAGGTATCGAAAAAACTAATTTATTCATTAATATTCATAAAATAATTTTATGAATATTTATAAAATACTGGTGATATTATGATATAGTACAGACTATCACTAATAAGTTTGTTCCATAAGCTTCTTTTGCATTTTTAGGGCTGGTAATTTGGGAAATTTTGTATTATCAAAATTAAAATTTACTGAATTTTTTGAAAAATCTTAAATCATTACATATAATTTTTCATAAATTTATTATTTTCCATTTTATGTTTGCTTCTATTCAAATAATTGTTAATTTAAAAATTAATTTTATTTTTTATACAATAAATATGATTATTTGTTGTATTTTCACTGGCTGATTACTCTTAATATCGGCAATTAGTTTTACTATTTCTTTATTTATGGGTGATAAATATTCAGGACAGAGTCATTATAATGTTTTTATTGGTGCCGACGTTTCAACCCAAACATGTGGGTCATCATCAGGGCGTGTTTCAAGCACTGAAGGTGTTGCTACAGTACTTGAATACCTTCAGTGATCGAAACATGCCCTGATGATGACCCACATGTTTGAGTTGAAACGTCAGCATCAATAAAAACTTTATAATGACTGCATCCTGAATATTTATCACCCATGATATGTAGAACAGTCAATAAACTTCCTTCAATATTTCTTTATTTAACGTTTTATTATTTTATTTAAAATTAATGCAAAAATTATCATTGATGGACAATAAGTTGATTATTGTAATAGGTATTTTTATGTTTGTAAGGTTATTTACTCTATTTCTGGTATGTAGTGAATTATATTCTTCAATAGCTCCATCTACTGAACTTTTCCAATTATTGTTACTATTTACCAAACCTAAGAGTTTTTAAATTGTTAGATTTAATGGAAGTTATATTAAACTCCTTTACTTTATTATTAAAATCTATCTCCTGTGTTATTTTTTGTTGATAATCTCACCGTATTTACTATACAAGTTTTTAAGCAAGATTAAAACAATTTAATGTTTATTTAATAAAAATCAGTTTGATGTATTTTTTCAAGATAGATAGGAGGTGGCTCAATTTCATTTTTATTTGAACATTTTAATTATTAAATATGATGAAATTGTATAATAATTGTTTGCAATTAAGAGATCAAAAGCTTAATGATTTTTATTGACTTTTTATTAATAGAACTACACTGGAGGCCCACCATCAGGAGGTAGCGCTGGTGGACCCCCACCTTCCGCAGGGTATCAAGGAGGCTACCCACCCGTCACTAATCAGTCTGGTTACCCAGGCTATGGTGGACAACAGCCACCACCTGTTACTCAACAAACTCAATCTCAACCCCAGCAAGGTTCTGGTTTCAATCAGCCTAATCCACAACCTTCTCAGCAGCAGCAAGGGTATTCAATGAAATTAATAAAGTTTTCTTATAATGTGTAATGGTCATTTTTTATTTATATGGTTTAAAATTATTTTAGTAGTGCATTAACTATTTTAAGAAATTTAAAACTCAAGCAAATATATTTATCATTATCAAGGAAGGAGATGGTCTGGGATGGCGGTCATAAATAGGCTAAATAGTGGTAAAACTATTTTATTAAAAGACAACGTTTCGACCCGACTTTGCAGGTCTTCTTCAGCTAGGAGTTTCACTTAGAATTGACTCACTCAGTTCTAAGTGAAACTCCTAGCTGAACACACCTCCCTGAAGAAGACCTGCAAAGTTGGGTCGAAACGTTGTCTTTTAATAAAATAGTTTTACCACTATTTAGCCTATTTGTGACCACCATCCCGGACCATCTCCTTCCTTTATAATGCAACGGCAACTGTTAAATATTCAATAATTATCATTATCCACAAACTTTCTTGTTAAATTATTGTGGGCTACTTTCAAATTATTTACAGATACCCTCCAGTAAATTCTCAGACTACCAACTATGGAGGAAATTATGGAGCTCAACCTTATCCACCATCTCAACCTGTAACTCAGGCAGGACAAAATACTTACACCAGTGGTGGTGGAGGTGGTGGTGGTGGCGGTGGCAGTACTGGATCCTATTCTGGAGGAGCTGGAAGCGGAGGCAGTGGTTATCCCGGTTATCCTCCATACACAACAGCACCATCAGCATCGACACAGACACCTCAGTACCCAGGAGGCCAATACCCTTATCAATATCCTGGTGGAGGACAGTATCAATATAGACCTCCCCAACAACCACCTCCTGGAGGTCAATATCCTCCATACAATTATCAACCTCCCCCTCCTCCACAACAACAGTAATGTTGTTCACCATTTGCTTTCAGGCCAGGGTATCTTTTGCAGCTCTCAATGTTGCATATATCTATTATACTGTTATTCAAAGACAACTGTAACTTTAAAATCATAGTGATGCTCACTACTTTGAATGTAAATATGACTATATGAATTGTCATTTATGTTCAAACAATCTCAGATTTATCAATTTTAAGATCCATTATTAATGTTTGTGTAAATTCATGAAGTGATTTGGATTTCACTATTGATCTCACTGATATAAAAACATCTCATCCATAGTCTTGCGATGTATGTAGCTTATGTCTTTTCATAGGTGTACAAATTTATCTAATTTTTTTGGAAATTTTTAATTGGTTTGTATTTTGCTAATAGAAATCAAATCATCAAGTGATGTTTTATCTAAATTGATTGATAATTAATATTTTTATCTAATTACAAATGTTTCTCAATTCAGTGTTTAAGGAATATAAAAATGCATTATTATGCCTTCATCAGAACCAAATAATATTTTAGTAAAGTTCATTGTTTAAAATATTTGATGTTATATCTCCTAACAATGTCCCTAGAAAATATCATATTTGTATTTGAATTATTATCAGTATACCTATATAGTATATTTTCTAAGCTTGCTCATTTTCCTTTTTTATGTAATATATTTGTGAAATATTAGCCATTAAGTATCAATACTAGTTTGTTATATTTACTGGAAAATTTTAATATTTTTTATTTTTACTGCTTTTAATATCGGATCAATAGTAAAATAAATTATTTAGTTCCTAATTATCATTTCAGAACCTTACGGTGTTTTTTGTATTGATTCCTGTTTCTCTTAGAAATTAATTATTATCATTATTAAATGGAAATATTATAAGGTGCACTCCATTTTTTTAAAAGTACTATCTGAGTTGAAGAAAAGCCAAAAACCAAAAACCTAGGTGTGTATTTTAAATAGGTTTGCCAGGTGAACTACTTTTGATAAGACGGGCCTAAAATTAATTTAAACTGTCCTATGCTGGTGATCAGGATTACTACTTTTGTTAGCAGTGAATTAAAAATTACAAACAAATTATTTCTATCTATATTTAATAAATGGTTCTGTTAATTTAGTTCCTGACATGAACTAAACAAACATCTATGAGAAAACTTCTTTAGTGCCCACACAGAGGCTAAAATAATTTTAATGAATAATTTATTTATTTCAATAAGTAATTTTATTTTATTTTTTCTGTTGCCATTACAGACTTTGTATACCTTTTTTTGCTTTAATCAGCCTCCTTCTCTGCTAATCTTGAGCTATTTCTTTCCAGCATCTTTGTAGATTCTATGTATCCATCTGTTGTTTTTTTTCTACTCCGCGTGGTCTTTTACCTTCTTTTGAGACATTCATTTGTGTGTAGAGACTTCCAGATGGATTTCTTTGAGCTACATACTCTGCTCATCTTAACTTCTTTGCCTTCTTATCATGTGGTATTGAATGATCAGTTTCTGTCAACAGCTCTATATTTGTCTATCTCTCCCATGTGTTAGTATTCTGATCCCAGATCACTCCGGTTATCGTGGGGAGAAATTGTCTTTTAATATTTCTTTTAAGGGTACTGGTTAGTGTCCAGGTTTAACAGCCGTTTATCAGAACTGGCTTTATAATAACATTGTGCACCCTTAATTTGAGCTAAAAAGCTTGCTGTTTGTGCTTGTTATAATCTGTTCTATTTCCGATCATTGGTCATTCATTGAGGTTATTGTGGACCCGAGGTATTTGAATTCGTCTATTCTTGGGAACAATTTCTCTTTTACTTAGATCCTGTTATTGGGGTAATTTTCCAAAGAAATTTCCTATCCATGGAGTCATATCATCATAATGGAATCAACGGCTTCTTTGAAATCAACAAATAAGGCATAATAGCAATTAAAAAAAATAAGGACTACTTCTCATCAATTTTTGAGTACTTTTTTTGGGATGGAGGTCTGGTCTAGTGTGCTCCTTCCTTATTTACATCCAGGTTGGTGGTCACATATTATATTTTATTCTGTTCATTTTTCCTACTTTTGGTGTCTTGAAGTTTTTTTTATTTGTTACAATAAATTAGTCTATTTTTCACCAACATTTTATTATTACGCATCAATTTGACGTTTCGACCATACTAAGGGTCATTTTCAAAACTTGATGAGTCCTCCTAATATGTTCATTCTTGTCAGTTACTTCTAACTTGTCAATTTATATAGGGGCTTCGCCCACGTAGTCCCTCCAGAAATGACGTGGGGTATGGAACGATAGATATCTGGATTGGGCCAAATCTGATACATATGGAACATTAAGGTCATTGTGGATGATTTTATATGTAATAAAGTAAGGATCATTGAGGATTTTACGAAGGATTTTAGATTGTAAGGATTGGATACGAGAGGAATTAGAAGGTTTGGTGGAGCCCCATAGCTCAACTCTGTTAGTCCAAATAGGCCTTATTATAGTCATGTATATGAGTCTTTTGTAATTAATTGGTAGCTTAAAGCGTTTGCCTAGTAAGTGTTGAAGTTTTCGGAAGCGTCGAGCGGTTTCTTGTTGTTTCAGTCTGGTATGAGGATTCCAAGTTTGACGTTTGTCCAGGTGGAGTCTTAGGTAACAGATTTGTTCAACAGGAATAAGTGAGGTGTTGTTAAAGGATACTGAAGGACAGGTAGTCATTGGTTTACGACGAAGGGTGAAGGTAATTTGATGGGATGTTTTGGAATTTATTTTAATTCTCCAGTTTTGAATCCATTCTTCAAGGTTTGGGATGCTATTGATAGGTCGTTATTAACTGATAGGATTCATGTGTCATCGGCATAGGTGGTGATGACAGTGTTGGGATGTCAGCTGTTTAGACTGTAAAGGATAGGACTTAGGATACTACCTTGAGGAACATCTGCAGACTGGGAAAAGCAGGATGTATAGACATTGTGATATACTTTAAAGTATGTATCAGAAGGTAGGAACGGATAATGAGGAAGTATGTAGATGGTAGGAATTTTTGGAGTTTATATAGCAGTCCCGGGTGCCCAACTCAAACAAACGCCTGTTCAACGTCGGGAAAGACTCCCATACAGTTCATTCTGCGCTCCAATGCAGAGGATACTACGTCTACCACACGATGGTATTGCTGTATAGTGGAATGGGAGGAGCGGAATCCAAATTGGTGATCTGTTATTAGAATTTAGGATGGGGTACTGGCGTTTTAAGATTAGTTTTCCAGGATTTTTCCCACGATGGGTAGAAGAGAGATAGGGCAGTAAGAGGATGGGTATTCTGGTGGCTTTTTGGGTTTGTGAATCATTTTGACAATAGATATTTTCCAAGGATCAGGAAAAATATGTGGATCGGAGTACAGCATTCTATATGAAAGTAAGGAATAGGATGGCTTTGCGAAGAAGAAGTTTTAAGATCTGGGATGATATTATGTCATGTCCAGGAGCTTTGATGGACGTTAATCCGTGAATGATGTTTTATATTTCCGTGGGATGAAATGCTTTAGGTGGAAGGAACATTTGGAGAGGAGTGTTCAGTTCTGATTCAATACATTCGATGTGGGTTGGATTAAGGATATCAGGATGTGGATTGAAAGTTTGGAAGAGATGACGGAATATTTGGGGCTTTTTCTTCATCGGATTTGGACCAGGTTTGGAATTCAGTAAGAAGTGGGTGATTAAGGTCTTTAAACTTCTGAAGTTTTTGGTTGTCGTCCATAGTGATTTGTCAGACGTTGTAAGATTTTAGTTAGGTTAAATAATTTTTGAGTTTTATATTTTCTGATTTTAATTTGTTAGTCAATTCGGTATAGTACGTTTTGTCTGAAGGATATCTAGTCCTGTGCCTCTTCGATCTTGCTCTGCGTTTATCGCTTAATAAGATTCGAATATATTGTGGTAAGTTAATATGTCTTGAGATATTGCTTTTATTAACAAATGTGTTATTATTTATACGCGTTATAGAGTAGTAAGGTTTTCTATGGCTTTATCAGTGTATTTTGTTTTGTCTTAAGCGGAATTTTTAAGTCCAGTTTATTTTCCAGATCAAAAAATTTGTCCCAGTCTACTCGTCCTGTAATCAGTTTAGAAGGTGAAGATTTAGAAGCAAAATTTGAGTGTAGTAAAACTGGACTATGATCTGAAGAAAGGTCATCCAGGGATTTGATAATGACTTGGGAGGTGATAAATATATCCATGATTTCGGGACGTTTTTCAGAGATGTTGGCCAATATGTAGGATTCATGGGCAAGAAGATTGAATAACTGTTGGAAGAAGAAACACGTGATAGGATGTTACCGCGGGAGTTGGATGTTCGACAACCCCATCGTTGGTGTTTAGCATTGTAGTATCCTCCAGCAATAAAACGCTCTCCGAGGGATCGAAATAAGGATTCAAGTAGGCTATACGAGAGGAAATTACCAGAAGGACAGTATACAGCTAAAAGCGTTCGATGGAAAGGACGAGTTGAGAGGATTACAGAAGTTGATTGAATAGCATCAGTTGGAGTAGAAGGGATAAGGGAATGAGGTAAAGATTTATGTACAAGGATGCAAGAGCCGGTGTGGGAAATGTTATCTGGGGGTCAGATCTATAAGTGATGTAGTCACGTATGTAGAAATGTGTCCGTTGAGTGAAGTGAGTTTCAGTCAGGAAGGCAATGTCAATATAATTGTCATGGATAAATATGGTTTTGTAGACCATTAGCATTCCATAAGAGGATAGTTAAGGGCTTTGTATTCACCGGAAGTTAAACGGGATTTCGGAAAGGAGTCTTGTGAGAAGAGTAATAAGCGGTTTGATAGTCTATTGAAGATCTATCAGGAATGATGACAGGATAGAGTTGATGTCGGATGATGTTTGACTGGGAAGTGGATTTGGGTCGTGAGGTTATGATGGGTTATTTATGCGACTAGGATTGTTGGATGGGGAATGGGCCCGACGTGGGGTACGAGAAGTAGGATCTAAATTCTGTTAGACTTGTGATAGGAGGTTCATCTTGGGAGTAGGAACGGGTGGAGCTGGGTGTGGATGCTCTGGTGGGAGTTTGACCCTTAAGGGTAGCTGATAAGGGATTTGTTGACGAGAATGTTGAGGTTGAGTTTATTAGGATCTTGGGCTTGGATTGGGAGGTTTGAGGCGCCTGACATTGAGACTGCTTCTTAATGTTGATCACTACATATAAATCATCAATAGAAACTCCTATTTCGATTATTAAATCCTTGTTTATTGTTTGGTACTACATGATCCGTGATTTTAGCCAGATCCCAATAAATTGTGGTTTTCTCATCAAAGAGAATAGACTGGGCGATGTAACGGTACGGTAATTAGGCAGTAGAAATAGTATTATAGACCAAACAATAATGCTTTAAGAGATAATTTTTAATATTTTTTTCGATAAAATATGGTCACATTTCAACATTTTGAGGAGCGAAGCTACAGTCCAAAAGTCTCTCCCTCCTCGGTAGATCCGCCTGTGAAACCTATTAAGAAAAAGACCCGTAGCTCCATAGCCGATCCCTTTGGGGCCAATCTGGCAATGTCCTTCCCACCGACTTTCTCGGGTTCAAGGACAGTGACAAATCGGTCTAGATTCATGGATTACGGCTGCTCGGAGTTAGCAGGCGCACGAGGACCTATATATCTTTCCCCGAAACAGACCGTCTATGGACCGAACCTCAGGGGGGCTATTAACATCCTGGTAAACCACATCCCGATTCCCGATTTAAGTACACGGGGTAGGGTCATCAGTCCTGCGTCCGGTCGGTGTGAGTTGCCT